CTCACCCGCGTGAGTGTGTGCGCGGCGCGCGTCTGTGTGTGTGTGTTTTGAATGTGTGCGTCGGTTGTTGACCCCCCCTCCAGGTCTGTGTGTATTGTAGCGGCCCACTGCTCCTGTGTCCTTTGATTAAGGTCAATTTGGTAACTGCAGTTGGCAACACACGCGCGCACAACATGTACGTACAGTTCTGCTCGTCCGTCCTCAGTGAATGTGTGACATTCAAGGACGCTTGATGTGTTCTAACAAGATCGCACGCCTGGGCTTTAAATAAAAACTCAGTACATCAACCACACGCTTCGTTAAGACCTCCACCTCGTTACGTGAAGGTGCTGGAAATGTTACATCGTGTCAAAGGTACATTAAGTCTTTCCGACCTGTAACACATCTGTCAAATTCACAAATGTGAAGTGAACACTGTTGCATTGACATAAAAGCCACTGAAAGGTTAAAGGAATAGTTCACAGCTCACTAATGAACATGTGTTGTTGTGTTTTTTTATGCTTACAGACTGTAAATGTTACAATGTGCAACTCGAGTCACTTTTGTGTGAAAGGCATCGGTTACACTCCAGACTTCATATTTCATTAGGTTGTATTTTTCCAATCGCAGCCACAGGAGAAGCACATTTCACGGAGCGCTTTTGTCTTTCTCATCCATGTAACGCACTTAACGAAAGGAAAATGCATATTTACGTGTAAGAAACTGTCAGCTCTCAGACCGCCGACGTGGCCGACATACATCGCTAAATATGAATCATTTAGCACGAAGCCCCACGTGTCTAAAGATACAACGTGTGATGAAGGATACAAGTAGGTTAGAACATCACCAACAGGAACTCGATGACCGTAATGTTTCTAATATCCCTCCTGCAGACTTAATGCATCTGAGACCGAACGCTGCTGCTGTCGAGTCACATCGAATCAGCCAATGTGACGTGCCTATTGTTTCACTTACAGAGCGTGTGTGTGTGTGTGTGTGTGTGTGTGTGTGTCTGAGGGTCATGCTTATGTGTGTGTTTATGTTTGTGTGTGTGTGTGTGTGTGTGTGTGTGTGTTGGATGACATTACTAAAAAGAGTAGACATGTTACACAGCAGTGGAGGCTTTAAAGCCTCCAGCATCTCACTCACACACACACACAGACACACACACATTCTCTCAGCTTGGCTCTGTGCCCGTATGCATGACAAGACCTCTGGGACCCCCTAAACACACACACACACACACACACACACACACACCACCACCCCCACCCACCAAGACTCGGCAGCCCGGCACCTAGAAGCGCCCAACATCTTCCCCTGACGTAGCAGCGTGTGCGTTTGTGTGTCTGTGTGTGCGTGTTCGTGTGTGTGTGTGTGTGTGTGTGTGTGTGTCTTTCTGTGTGGTTGTGTATGTGCGGCTGCGGCAGAAAGAACACTGCGACCTAAAAACCCAGCTCACTGAGAGCGACTGCACGCTGAACAGAAGGCTCATCCAAGTGTAAACACACACACACACACACACAAACAGTAAGACACTGGAGTGTGAACCCGGCATACACACACACACACACACACACACACACACACATCACATTAAGTCACACATGGACTTACTCACACACTCACTTAATCATCCACAAACAGCAGATGCAAACATATAAACACACAAATCAAATTGAAGAATTCAGATGTACGCAGAGTCCTAACACACTGTCTGTCTGTGTGTGTGTGTGTGTGTGTGTGTGTGTGTGTGTTGACTGACATCACAGGTGAGGACCCAGATGATCACGATGAATATCATTTCATAAAGTTTATTCAGCTTTAAGCCGGCGGGGGAGAACTCTCAAATGATTCATCGTTGTTTTGCTTCGGGCTGTTTTCACCAGCATCTCAAAGACGCATCAGCGTGGTAATTGGTAACAGGTACTTGAAGGATACCAACGTGGACACGTGTATGTACGTGGCATCTCTGCTCCTGTTCTGTCTGGACATTAAGGCCCGTCCCTGGTGTGCGTTGACTGGAGGTCACGGAGACGCACTCTCTCTCTCTCTCTCTCTCTCTCTCTGTGCATGAGCACATTTCAGCGTTTATGAAACGGGTTCACGCGGATTACCAGACATCTGACTCCCCGAGCTGCTGACAAACAGAGCTGAGACGCGTCCGCTGTGGAGCTGGAGAAGGAGCAGACTGTGCTGTACTGTATGAGCTGCCTCCAGGAAGTAGCCACAGCCCCGCGAGCTGAGTTTGACTGTGACACCAGCTGTGGCGTCCTCACGCCTACGAGGCTCTTATATGTTACCGAACTGACTGTGAGCGGGTTGAGGCGCTGCAGTATTCATGCAAACATATAAATGCTGTAGGGTTTGGACTTGCGTGAATATTTCATCCTTTGAGCAGCGACTTTCAGCCGCTTTGCATAAGAATCATATCGGTTTGAGCTCAGAGAAGAGGACAATTCACCGGTATGTGTTCAAGTAGTGATCCGGACACAGGACGGCTGGACTCCCTGTCAGCGGCCCTTTGTGGACACGCCGTTGCACCTGAAACTACGTTTATTATCGCTGATGAAAAGAATTCTGCAGCTAAATGCATCGACTTCTCCCTTCAAATTCTCGTTGCCGTCTCGCAAAATGTTTTCCAGTCCAACGTGAACACAAACGATGTGATGTCACATCTCTTCTGCACACACTTAGCATTATTAGCATTATTACATTTAGTGTAGTAAGATATCTGAGTCCTCCTTGCATCACTATACCTTTAGAGCTCTCTGTGTCTGTGTGTTGCTTTAATGCTCCGTCATATGACAATGAGGACTGACTTGACACATCTGCTGTAACCGTAAGGACTCTACTTGAAAGCTCTATGCATGCATGTGTGTGTGTGTGTGTGTGCGTGTGTGTGTGTGTCTTGGGGGGGTATTCATATGCTCGTGTTTATGAGTGTGTGGGGGAGGTGGCTGTTTGTGTGTATAGTAAATATTTTTACAGGACCCTTCATCTTGGCTTCATGTCAAAGTCCCCAGCTGTCAGCACAACACCGGCCCCTGGCAGAGAGGGGGAGAGGGGGAGGGAGGGGGAGAGAGAGGGAGAGAGAGAGACCTCTGGTGTCCCTGTGGTGGTGGGGGGGGGGTGAAACAGTGAGGGCTGCCATGACTACCAGTTCAACAGAACACAGCAATCGGATTCCAGAGCAACACACAAACACTTCTCCCTCACCTGCAGTTTCCTGTGCAGTTTAATAAGTGGCTTTATTTAGTCCCCCCGGTGTCCACGGGGTCTGTCCCTCCCGTCTCACCCTCACTCTGCAGGCCCCGCCTCCTCGTTAACGCAATAATTGGACGGCAAATCTGTGAAATGCGAAATGCAAAAAGGAGAATAGAGAAGGAAGAAAGACGGGAAATAAGATTCAAAAAAAAGAAATGGTGACGTTCTTTTCATTTCGACCATTAACGGAGGGAAACAGCTCTGTCTAAAGGTGTGTGTGTATGTGTGTGAGTGTGTGTGTGTGTCGTTAAGCGTATAAATCTATACATGTATACATCTATTTGTGTAGCCTTACATCATGTCTGTATATTCTTCATGTTTCAGCTGCACATTTGATGTTATCCGAGCTGATGATGTACGAGGTCGGATGCGGGGGATGCAGGTTGGCTGTGTGTGTGTGTGTGTGTGTGTGTGTGTGTGTGTGTGTGTGCTTGATGTTCCGGTATGTTCTGACCTCATGGCTCTTGTTTGGAATCAGATTCAGGCTGACGAGCCGTCCACTGAAGTCTGTCTGTTATTTCTCATGAATCTAATTGAGCTTCTGTGTGTGCCGATCATCAACTATTTACAAGTAGAATATAAAAATAGTGGTGCGGCTTCTTTGTGGGACTATACAGACGTTCAAAGATATGTGGCCACTCTGCATCAACTTCTGACAATTCTTATATTGTAATATAATAGATTTATATAGAGCATTTGAGAAATACACAAACATTTTAAATATGTATTTATATGATATGAATGAACATACACATTGTTTTTATCACGATGACTAGAAATGCCAACATGAACGTCTGCGGTGGAGAACATGAGTTTAATCAGAGCTGAACATTGTGGATGTTTTGTACCTTTTCGTACCTTTTATAACCCAAACCACCATCTTTTCCAAAGCTAACCACATATTGTCCTTTTGAAAGTAAACTTAAAACCAGGTAAACCTATGTTGGAATTTTATTTTGAAAAGTAACCATGGTTCCTCTCATCATTTTATTGTGAAAAGACGCTGTGCACTGAGCGAACCTCGAGCTCTCTGTCTGAAGATGAGTTACAGGAGTGCGTCTGTGGGTTTTATGCAGAATTGGAAGTTAATGACTCACCTTCTTTGGAACATGACTCAGCTCTGCTTCTTTCAGCCTCTGAAGCTCAACTGTTTTTCAATGACGGAGGGACCACAGGTCAACGTCTCTCACTGTCCCCCAGCGTGACCCATCACACATTCATTAAGCCGTCAATCACAACAATCTCCACAGTAACGTGAATGCACAACTCTGCTTCAGGTGCAAACAGCGCACAACAGGCCGCACTGTCGCGATGCTCCTGATGTTTGTTGTGACTCAGACAGATCCGACCACGCTTCCATTACAGTGTGAGTGTGTGTGTGTGTGTGTGTGTGAGTGTGTGTGTGTGTGTGTGTGTGTGTGTGTGTGTGTGTGTGTGTTGTGGGGGAGGGGTGTTAGAGCGTGCATGTGTGTGTTTGGCCTGATTGTTGAATATTCTCTGTGTGTGTGTTTGTGATTGTGTGTTTGGAGATTAAAGTGTATCTGTGGTATTAAAGGGCTTAAAGAGAGATGTGATGCTCTGATCAACGAGCATTTTCCTAGATGGTTCGCGCGCACACACACACACACACACACACACACACACACACACACACACACACACACACACACACACACACACGTTAACAGCGTTGGTCCCAGCAATTCTTCACCTGGAGCATCAAAGATCCCGCGGTGAACCAGAACACAAACACACACACAAATGTTAACCTGAAAAAACTAAATATGAACCTTTATGAAGACGTCACTTCATCCCAAACGTTTGTTAAAGGAAAAACTTTTTTGAGAAGAGAACTTGTGTGTGTGCGATTGAGCTGAAGCGCTGCTGCTTCATTCTGTGAGGTCTGACCGACATCTAGGGGACGATTCTAGTATTGAACCTTTTCCCGAGTGGTGGATGTGCAGATTTTTCATCTGTCACCACTTTGCTTTTCTCTCAGCAATGTGACGACGGAATCGCCGGTGGGTTCGAATTCATCAGCTCACAGGACTCTTAATGCAAACTTGACTATATGCATTTGTTCTGTGTACGTGGCCCAAAACAAACATCATAGGTTGTTAGAATAAAATGTGTTGCACCTCTTCACCCAAAGCAGACTCCCCCTTCTAAACCTAAAGAGAACCGGCTCGTGTCTGCCAACGAATCATCTGTAGTTTAAATGGACTACAGATACCATCTGCATAGGGCGAGCCACGTTCCTTTAACCAATCGGAAGGACTGTTGGTGCAGAGTGAAGGGAGCGAGGCAGCTGCAGGAGTCTCCTAACCCTCCTCCTAGCCTTTCCCTCCTCCTCCGTCGTCCTCTCGGGATGTCTGAAGGTGAATCTGCAGGAAGCAAACTGCTGTCGGTGGACTTTGAGATCTTCGGTCACGTTCAGGGTTCGTATGTTTTCACTCTCCTCCCTCCTCCTCCTCTCGTTCGTCTTGCTGCTCCCTCAGCTGTAAACTGATCTGCTGAGGCTTAATTTAGGACGGAGCTCTGCTCCTGTCTGGGGGGTTATTCTTATATATATTATTATTATTATCATTACTTTTCTTATTGCTGTTATTATTAATTCATTTTAAAAACAGGCTGTTATTATTAATCGTCTATTCAAAGCTTTCCTTCTCTCTCTCTCTCTTTTATTTGGACAGGAGTCTGTTTCAGAATGGTGAGTTGCTGCCATCACCACCTGCTGCTTCCTATATTGAGCTAAGAGCCGTGTCAAAATGTCAAAACTGTCCCATGAGCTGATTTAAGACGACACTTTTCTACTCAAAAGTTCACAAAGAGCAGAAGAAGTCAAACTGGGTTAGTGTTGCTTCAACAAGAAGCAACACTAACCCAGTTAGTGGGTTGGCTGACTTCTTCGTCCCCCCCCTCCCTCCCCCGGCTTGCAGTACACAGAGAAGAAGGGTCTGCAGCTCGGTCTGGTGGGCTGGGTGAGGAACACCTGCCACGGGACGGTGGAGGGACAGGTCCAGGGTCCCGCTCACAGGGTGGACGAGATGTGAGTCTAAAGTGACGATGCAACACAACCAGCCAATGACAGCATGTTTGCGTCTCCTCTGCTGCTTCACGCCAGATGTGACTAAACAATAACACTTGAAATGCGTTAATTATGGAAAGAAAGAACAAATGATAAACGTGTGTAGAACTATTACAGTTGTGAGCAGCAATGAGAAAGCGAAAGGCCGTCCGTGAGGCCCGGCTGGTCTCATCTCTGTTTTTAACAGGATTTTAATTGTAAATCATGCAGAAATGACATTTACAGCACAGGTCAGTGGAGACTTATTGATATAAAACAGTCAATTTTTATATTTGGTCTTTTAATTACATGTTGTTGTTTTTTACTTCTGCCTGAACTCATCGTCCCTGGCTAAATAAAAAAAACCGCCCAAAGCTCAAATCCCTTCAGTTTAATCGAGGACTGCGATCCTTCTCTTCAGGGCCTCTAGATGGCGCTCTGCACCGTCACATCAAACCCGCCCGCCGTCTGCAGAAAGGTTTCACTTCCACGGGGATCCGTTGGGCGTTTTTTTTTTAATTCATCCACAATGAGCGGATGAAGAAATGAATCAATAGAACCGTCGATCAGTTATTATGACGCTGGAGCTTCGTTCTGACGTCCTCCCCGCCCGGCGGGAGTGACGTCACCAGCGTGTGGACAGGAGGAGGCGTCACGTACGGAGGTAAAAGGAGTTTTTGATGAATGTGCTTATTGCACATTAATGAGTAATAGTTGAAATGAGGCCCAGCGGTCTCGTGGTCATAATGCAGATGTGAAGAACCCGACTGCATCTGGATTGATTTCTCTCATTTTATCATTTCATATCATTTCTTTCTATTTGCATCAGTGATTTATTATTTTGTTTTTGTTCTCATCTGTTTGTTCTTATGTTTTGGGGTATTTGGACATGTTTATGCTGCTTAAGGCAGAATGACCCTTCACGAATTAAACCCCGTCCACCCGGCACCAACAGGGAGTCAAAACCAACAACCCTTTGTTTCGGTTCATTGGAGTGATCGAAGCAAACAGCTGGATCAGCTTCACATGAAGAACCACGTCCCTTTCTTTCTAGAACTGAGGTGTTGGAAGGGTGTTCAAGGTTTACTTTGACCAAAAAACTATGCAGATGAGTTTATAACAGAGTTAAATAGCTAAAAAAACAACATTGTTAGCCTCACTTTGACTTTTATTAACGATTAACACTTGCCTTCATTGATGATATGAAACACACACACACTCTACTATTTCCTTCCATTCTGTCACAGATCTTTTCCGTGTTAACGCGCTCACTCTCACGTCCTTCGTGTGGACTCCACTTTCACCACGACCTCACTTCCTGCAGGGCCTGGGAGACAGGAAGCAGCTGCTCCTCCGGGCCGAGGCAGGGAGGAGGTGTAGGACAGGGAGGGGCGCCGTAATAATACTGGCTGGAGCTGAGGAGGAGACTGGAGAGAAAAAAGAGAAGGAGGAGAGTGTGGAGGAGACAATGAAGGAAGGAGAGACATTGTAGTTGGTAATAGTAAGAAAGGGTGGAGAAAGAGGATTAAGAGTGAGTTGGAGGTGAAGAAGTGGGTGGTTTCCAATAGAAAGAGAGAGACTTCTTCAGCCTTTATGGGCCCGTAGGTCAGCGATAGAGGGAGAGCAGCACCAGGCCTCCTCTGCTGGTCCGAGGTTAGTGTCCCTGAGGCTGAACCACGGGGACACTGAAGCATCAGTGATGCTGCACTTTGAGCTGTTGTGAAGAAAAAGTAATTTGAGTTGAAAATCACAACTAAAATTACTTTTTTTTTTTGGCTACACGGTGCGTGCGTATGTGTGGGGATCAAAGGGATAAGTGAAAATGGAGCCTTAACATGAAAAGCTGTGTGTGTGTGTGTGTGTGTGTGTGTGTGTGTGTAGTGGTGAGTAGGGTAACACAGAGCAGATTGGTAGACAAGTTTTTTGCCCAAAAGAAAGTAGGACAGCTGATGATCTCCCCTCCTCTCTCATCCTCTCCCTCTAGCTGAGCGTCCCTCGGTGCATCGGCATGAACGTGACCCCGATCCCCTGAAATCTCCTTTAATTCACACACACACACCGTATACCAGAAGCGTCACTGTGATTTAAAACACAGACTTTCTGCTGCAGAACACTCGATTCTCAGCGTTAAATATAGCTGCAGGAATGTTTGTTTTTTTCCCATCATGCCCCTGGTTGTCCAAATGGTGGCTTGACCCCTCGGTAGCTGGTGGTTAAGGACGTATAAACCTTTTTATTTTTGTCTACATTCTAGTCCCCCGATGACGTTGGTCAGTTATTAATACATTTTGTTCCACTGCATTTTTCCATCCCACATAGTTGAGAGCACCTCAGTTCTGAAGGAAACGTCCCAAAATCACAGCTCTGTATGACCAGTCGAACCTTCCTGGCGGGGAAATAGTTTCACGGCTTAACTGAAGATGAGCTGCTATTTTGTTTTGACAAACTGTTCTAAACAGACTGCGTCCTCCACAGGAAGCAGTGGTTGGGTAAAGAGGGAAGTCCGTCCAGTCGGATCACCAAAGCCTCCTTCACCAACCAGAGAACAGTCGGCGAGCTGGAGCTCTCCGGCTTCAAGACGCGCTTCTGACCGACGAATCAAACGCACCCCGAAGACCTTCTCCACCCCGGCCAGAGTAAAGGACGCTGCTTCTCGATGACTTGAGATGTGAGGTCTACGAATGACAAGTTTCATGACCATTTGACGCTGGGTTGGTTTGTAGAAGGACGGTTGAAATTTTCAGCCTGGAAGTCAAATATTTGTCAAATAAATAAATCCATGGTAATGTTTCATTAATGATATAAGAAGACCCCTGTAAATCATTGCAATGGTTTGATCCGAGCAGATCAGCTCCCATTAAATCTACCACTGTGTACGATGTAAACAAACACAGGCCTGCCGTGTTGTCACGTGATGCGATTAGGCCTACCTGTCGTCTCATCCAATTAACTCACTGCCAGAGAGATCAGCTGGAAAGCAACAACAGAAACGCTGACACAGCGGGAACCCGAGCGCCTGTTCTCTACGGCGAGTCTGTGTGTGTATTTGTGCGCCAATGATCTTTTAATCTTTTTTTTCTCTCATTGAATATCTGCTCTTAAATCAAATTGTATGTGTGCACTCGCCGAGCGTCACTGCTCGGAGACCGACTCTCCCTGGATACACTGTCAGTGGTCGTCATGCCGACGCGCCCCGAGACATTACTCACACTCACAAACACACGATCGGGGCCAGAGGGAGGTGTCGGTGTGTGTGTTTTAGATCTTAATGTAATGACATACTTACATAACACGCTGGAGCACTAAACCCTCCATCCGTTATCATGGAAACGCCAGGACAGAGCTATGCTATGCTAAGCTACGTGCTACGTAAGATCTCCTAATTACCCTTCTGTACACACACTGAGTATTATGTTACAGCTGAATCCTCAGACGGAGTGTTGGACGCTTACTTGGAGTAGAGGCTTTTCCTGCTTTAACAAAACAAACATGCAGCAAAGCAGGTAAATAATGAAGCTTTCTTTTGAAGCTTTGTCGCAGGGGGACGAATTTGTTTCAACGCCAGAGATTCTGATATCGGTTTTTCTGTGACTCTCCAGGTGACTCATATATACATTTCCAAAACTAAAAGCTGCTGTTCCATCATCACCAGCTTGCATTTTCTCCGTGAACCGCAAACCTCACGATCCTCCATCTCTGACACTCATCTTTACACTTTCTGTCCTCTGCTAAACCTGGTGCAAATAATTCAGCGTGAAATAAAAAAAAACACAGCCGCCTCCACACTCGTATACTTGTGCCATTGAGAGCGAGAATTACTGCGGAAAAGCTGGAAAAAATCCACCGGCCTTGACCTCTTCTTCCTCCTCTTCCTCCGCCTCCACCTTACCGAGCAACCAGCTTGGCATCCCGTTGAGGTAACCATGGAAACGGCCCTGTGCTGGAGATATACAGAAAGACAACAGAATTGGGTGTCTTCTCAATTCTCCAATCATCTTCTCTCTTCTATCCTCTCAAGTGTCCTCTCCTCCTCCCTAAAATGTGTTCTTTCCTTCTCTCCTGCTCGCTTAACTTATTCTGTCCTTCTTTCCTCCTCCCTAAATGTAGTATTTCCTTCACTCCTCCACTCTAAACTTGTTCTTTCCTGTTTTCCTCCCTAAACTTATTATTTCCTTCTCTGCTCTCTGCTCTAAATTCCTTTTTGCTTCTCTTTCTATTCTCTATCCAGCCATATTTTCTCTTCTCTGAATATCTGCCGAGCACTTTAACTGCCCACGCAGTCTTATTCATCATGTTACACGCACGCACGCACGCACGCACACACGCACACACGCACCTGAGTGGGCGGTGACAAGCAGCTGTTGCGAGGCAACAAGTTGTGTGTCACTCTGCTGTCAAAGAAACACTGACATTTAACAAAAGCAACATTGTTTTTTCTGTTCTGTTCACGTATCCACCCTTTATTTCAAACTATTTGGAATATTATTTAGATTACTGCTCTGACAAAATTATCATAATTTGCACAAAAACTGATTTATCTGTTTATCAGGTTTCAGTCGTATATTCTACACAATCCCAGAGAAAGAAAAGTGTAAGTATCACATGCTGATAAAAAGTACATTCCTGTTCAAACTGCAGTTTACTAGTTTATTTTCTGTGCCATTTGAATTCATATTAGGATTTTGTTCTATATCATATTTTATTTACACAGAACTTAACTGTGAGATAACGTCGTCAGCAAAGCACGGAGAAGCTCGGATAACAACGCACACAGAGGAAGAGCGACTTATTGTCTGCTCAGCTGGACATTAGATCATAATGAAAATAGTGCTTTAAATCCTGGGAATTAGGGGGAGGGGCCAATGACATAGTTGGCATTCCCATGAACATCCACCTGAATGTCATGGCAATGTGACCGGCATGTGTTGGGACAGCTCTCCCTGGGGGACGGACCCTTGACCGAGTGGCCGCCTCTGGCCATTTATAAACAACAACAACAAACGTGGAAAGATGCGTTTAGATGAAACAATTGTATCCCAACATGCTGTGACCTCTGACCTCTCTGAAGCTGTTTAGTGAGGTCATAAAACGACAACATGTGTAAACAGGGAATGACTTCAGGTCTGCTCTCATGCAGCTGCTGGGTGATGGAAATCAACCCCGTGACCTCTGACCTTCTCCTCAACCTGCTCTGCTTCACAACAAACATGGCTGCGGCCTGGTGGACATTTCTACATGGTGTCTGGTATCTGGGTGACAATCCCCAGCACACACACACACACACACACGCTGAGGAAACTCTGTGGGTGTGTGTGTGTCATCAGCAGCCAAGAGAGACCTTCAAGGCCGGATCACATTCTGCCACACAGACAGTGTTCATGCACACACACACACACACACACACACACACTGCTGTCAGCACACTTGAATGTCCTTCAAACCCAGAATGCATCGTTCTCAGTTTGTGTGTGTGTGTGTGTGTGTGATGAGTTATCTCATCTTATCTCACTGTAACGAGATATAAGAGTTTCATTTGTCAGTTTCGTAGTCCTCACATGTGCCTCTTTCAAATCAAATCAAATGTTTTTGTCACATACATCAAACAATAATACACAGAACAACATATGATGATGTCCTCAGATGTCCGGGACAGATCTAACAAATAATCTAAAGTAAATGAATCTTACCTAAACGACATCGGAACCAACGCCGGCTCCAAACATTTTAAGGTCAATCTCTCCGGCTCTTAACTGAGCAGTTAAAGAATGAACATCTGAAAGCAGCTGAACCTTTTCACTCTTCTATCTGAAGAGATGAAGGTCTCTGCTTCTTGGATTTGTTTTCTTTTGAAAGGTTGTACAACAGAGTTCGTTTTAAGTTTTGTGGAAAGGAATTAAAACTACCAAAATACTGTATATCCTAGTAGGATCAAACTGGGTATCGGTATCTGCAGAATTGACGTTAGTGTGTCCCAATGCGCTCTGTTAAACTTCCTCATTGTAGCCCACCAGAAACAGATCACCTCTCAACAATAAAAGACGAGGAACCTCCAGTCTGACTTTGACCTCCAAACCCAATTTTAGCTCAAATCTAACGCGCACAAGTAGACGTCGACCAGTTGAAATGCGTCCAGGCTCTTTCTGCAGAAACAGTCTCCTTTATTTTTTCCTACAAAGACAAACTTTAAGGGAACTGAAACAAGGTGAGGGTGAAGAGGACAATGTGTGATGATTCAACAGTGTGGGAGGTTTACGGACTCAGGGTGAACACTACACGTCCTCACACGGAGGGCCTGCTGGGAAATGTTTCCAAGGAAACTAAAATATATTTCACCCCACAGCTGTGTGATGAAAGAACATTGATTCCTCTGACAGTTATTGACGTTTTTTATATACATTCTGTTGCGACACACTCATCCTAACTTTTCAGGGTCTGTGTGGCATCATTCACTCTGCAGACTCTCTCCCTCCAGCTCTGTGCTGCTTGAATCTCCGCCTCTCACTCAGGCTCTCGCGGGAGGCGCTTCATATACATCCCTCTGCAGCTTTGAGGGGTGGAGATAATCCAATCGAACCAATGCAATCCTAAAAAATGCATTGTCACTTTCCCATTTACTCATTCAGTGAAGGAGTAAGGAGAGTCAAAGTCTTATTGCAGAATGCACAGAGTGCAGGTAATTATGCAACAAAATGCAGTCAAACAGGACCACAAAAAGCTGCAACGTGCAGAGCAATGTATATATGTGTGTAGAGATGATATCAATAATCCACAAACAGAAGGAACATCTGCGAGCCTATTTGACTTTTTAACTGTGTGTGTTTAAACGTACATACAAGTGAAGGTTAAATTATAAAAGAGCTTCCATAAAATTGCAATTAAGCGAAAATAGTTAATATTTTCACAGTGTTAATTCAAACGATTTGATAAAAATTCTCAAATTTAGATGTTCTATGAAAACACATTATTTGTGTTAATAACTACACATATTTTTGACTTGTGTGTCTCATTCATGCACCATTGCAGATACACATTTGTATCGTAAAGGACAATAACATAAGTTATTCTGATTTAAATAGCCTTGGAATTTATTCATGGATGAATTAAAGTTGTGCTTTGCCAACAACAATCGCATTAATAAAGGTTACTCTTTATACTTAATAGAGTCAAACTCCAAAGTGCTTTACAACAACTAGACAAAATAAAACCCCTTAAACAAAAGAAGGTATTTTATAATATTGTAACACACTATGCTATATGCCATACTAGTCTGTGATATACTATACTATAGTATTCTATACTATACGATGTATTATTAATTATAAAATTCAAAATAAAGAGAGAATTATTTTCCTGGTCAGTGAGGAACCTTCACGGCGCCGCCCCTCCGGGGCAGCGAGGTGTCTAAACCACACGCACCAGGCGCTGCAGTCCGGGCCGTGTAGCGGCAGAGCGGCGCGCGGGGGGGGCGGGGTGAGGAAGAGGAGGAGGAGGAAGAGGAGGGGTATCGCTAGATTTGAGGGCTCGCTGCTCTTGCGCTGTTGTTTTGTTTTTTTAGCTGCGCGCTCCCAGCGGTCCGTCTTTCCTTCGGAGCGGAGACTCCCGGCGCTTCCCCCGGCCTAAAGTGAGAGCGTAGACCGCCCGCGTGGTTGCCCGCCCCCTTAAATTCTCTGCGCGGATTTTTTTTCATGTGCCTCGTGGGGGGAGGCGTCCGCATCCACGCCGGAGGAATGCGCGCGCGTCTCTCCGCCCAGAGGCTCTTTTTCCCGGGGGGGGACTGCTGGGGTCTCGAACAAAACCAAGGGGGACCTTGGAGGCGGGGCAGCGGCGGTTTATTTGCACAAAGCGACGCGGGGCAGCGCCCTTCTTCTCTCGGGTGTGTCTCTCATTTT